TAATGTGGGCTCGTTCAGAGCATACATGGGTAAATTACTTTCAAAATGTAATTTAATTACAATTACAATTACTTAGCCCCCAAAGTAGTTTAACTACAATTACAATTACTACTACGCGAAAGTAGTTCATTGCAATTACAAATTACTTTTTAAAAGTAATGCAATTACTTTACAATTACTTATTTCTGAGAGTTACCCACCTTGGGCCATATAACTGTAAACGAGTTATATGGCCGCTGTTTAAATGTCACGCATTGTACTTTTCTTTTATGAAATTTGTTAAATGGATTATAGAACTTAATAGTTTGGAGTAATGAACTTCTGATTTCTTATATTCTCAAAAAATAAAAATAAATGGCGACAAAATTCACAGGTGCGAGGTGAATCTCTTTAGAGCTTGTGCAAATGGTATCCAAGTCAAACCAACAAAAAATAAACTTAAAAATAATACAAGGAAACAAATATGCGACAGTACTGGTATCATAAAACTCGGTGATTCGCTGCCTCTCCCTGTCTGTGGACTTGTAACATGTCGGATGTGGGTAACCGTAGCACGCGAACTGCGGTCGCTTCCACAAAACTAGTGTCACAATAGCAGCAACTCTCTTGCCAGGGATTCTGGGTTAATTCAGTGCACGGTAACACCAAAAAAAAAAAAAAAGCTCCTGAGATATATAATAAATTTAGGATCGTCATGTCAGGCGAAGAAGCAAAGAAGCAGCAGGTCTAATTAACACGACTCACCCTGCCTTACTTTCAACTGTTGTTGCTAAACTGCGCTTCTTCGCCTCGATATTAGAGTAGCACGACCCTCTGTTAGTGGTACCAACATACGAGATAGAGGAGAAAGACGTGAAAACTCATAAAGAAAAGAGAATAATTACATGAACAAAAAAGTCCCCAAACTTGACTGAAATATGTAAGCGAATATGCTAGCGGCGAAGACGCGTAAGGAAAACTTCGAACCTCCCCGCCTCGACCGGATGATGTGATCGGAGCCAACCAGCTCGACTTCGACCCCCATACCCCCGTGTGGGAATGAGAAATAAGAAAGACCCCTAGAAACAGGAGCAACAGGAAGCGAACGAGACGAAGAGTCAGATTCAACTACGACAGGAAGGAAAACGGACGCGAATGAAGCCCTCATTTATCAAATTATTTCTGAAATTCTTCATTAAATCGTTTTGCAGTCTACAAAATCCTTCGTTCTATCCCAGCCTCCCTTTTCCCTTTTTTTGAGCAGGTTGGGAGACTCTCTCTTTTATTGCTTCGGTTGTGCTCTCGTCGCCGTGGCCAGGGGGGAAAAGCGCCACCGCCGCAAAATCTTGCAAAAGTAATTGTAATTGTGCCTGAAATTTAGCAATTACTGATGCTAGAAAGTAATTAAATTACAATTACAATTCCTTTCAGCCAAAAGTAATTATTACAATTACAAATTACTAGGAAAAGTAATTAAATTACAGTAATTTAATTACTGTAATTGAATTACTACCCAAGTATGGTTCAGAGCATGCACTCTAGACATCGCCCACAAATATGGCGCCCAGTGAATACTCCTTATAGGGAGTATTCACTGGACGCCACATTTGAGGGCGATATTTAGAGCGCACACTCGGAACGAGCTCACGTTAATAGGCTGCTAAGACCGTCAATCTTGGTGGCGCGGAATGCACGTGGCGAAAGAACTGTGGAAGCTCGCCATCAGCACGCGCTCAGTAGTCGCGCACACAGCTATGGCCGCCAGTGAACACTCCCTATAGGGGGTATTCAGTGAACACCATACTTGAGGGCGATGTTTAGAGCGCATGCTCAGGACGAGCTCACATTAATAGCTTGCTAAGACCGGCAATCTTGATGGTGCGGAATGCACGTTGCGAAAGAACTGTGGAAGCACGCCGTCAGCTCGCGCTCAGCCGCCTCGCACACAGATATGGCCGCCAGTGGATACTCCCTATTGGTGCCATCCGAGTGCGATTACGTCACGTCGAAGTAGAACACGCTCCTCGCAAGCTTAGATTATTCGAGGTGGTGTCGGTATCGCATAGGTGAACATTGTGAATGTCTGCGCAAAGAGTGGTCGGTCTTCATTCCTGAGACAAGAGCACACTGGTTTAGTGCCGCAGAAAAGCAATGTAGCCCGTACATTAATTAGCATAAAAGTGCCACAAAGCAGAAAGGACTGGGACGAAGTAAGAGGACAAAACTAGAGCTGCCTCACTTCCTGTTCTTGTTATTTTTGGCGCTTTTATAGATTTTCTAACTACGAACCAACTAGCGTAGTTGATCACTTTGCTAGCACATACAACACGACCGCTAAAACGAGGTTCTTCAACTCATCCGGTGTGCCTAGAAGTGGACAGTGTTTCCAAGTGCTCGAAGGGGGTCAGGTAGTTCATGAGCCGCGTTCGGAATACCAGGTGAGAGGAGGACACAAAAAAACGACTCCCAGCGTCTCCATGGGCTTTGCTCAGCCTCTCCGCCCAGCTCTCCTCCTCGTCACGTGACAACGCATGCATGCGCGTGAGCAATTAGTTTGCGGGGAAGGTATCCGCCATTCAGTTGCAAAAGTGGTCACGCCGAGCAGCAGGACCCGCGCGACCAAATAATGGGGAATTTTAGAACCCCGGCGCTTTCCATGCCCCAAGCAGCTTCGCCCCCCCCTTTATAAACTTCCTTGATGAAGCTGTTGAACGAGAAACCCAAATCACCTGCGCAGATTTGCACTGACACTTCATAGAACCATTTCAACCTTCCTACCGTCGTTGAGTTTGAATTTTAAGTCTGGGAGCCTAAACACTTCGTCTATTTCCTTTTAATTTAGAGGAAATAGGCTTATTGAGTACAGTATGAGACACAGTTAGCCCGAATGCGAGATAAGGGGTGTTTTTTGGGTTATCACTGCTAGGGGCGCTCCACGGTTATTCGTTTTAGAGCGCAGCTCTTAGGGGCCCGTTTCCGGCTTGAGCGGCGTCGCCGTCGGCGTCGGCGTCGCCGTCGCCGTCGCCGTCGCCGTCGGCGTAACCGCGCGGTGCATCATGGGAAATGTCCCATAATGCACCGCGCGAGCCCCCCACCAAGGTCACGTGACCTCGTGGGGGGTCACGTGACCCCCCGAAGTCACGTGACTCCCCTGAGGTCACGTGGCCCCCTCCTCGAGGTCACGTGACCCCCGCCGATGTCGCGTGACCCCCGCCGATGTCGCGTGACCCCCGATGACGTCATCGTCACTGATGACGTCACCGGCATCCACATCGTCATCGTCATCATCACTGATGACGTCACCGGCATCCACATCGTCATCGTCATCATCATTGATGACGTCACCGGCATCCGCATCGTCATCGTCATCATCACTGATGACGTCACCGGCATCCGCATCGTCATCGTCATCATCACTGATGACGTCACCGGCATCCACATCGTCATCGTCATCATCACTGATGACGTCACCGGCATCCACATCGTCATCGTCATCATCACTGATGACCTCACCGGCATCCGCATCGTCATCATCACTGATGACGTCACCGGCATCCACATCGTCATCGTCATCATCACTGATGACGTCACCGGCATCCACATCGTCATCGTCATCATCACTGATGACGTCACCGACATCCGCATTGTCATCGTCATCATCACTGATGACGTCATCAGTGACGTCACTGATGTCACCGGCATCCGCATCGTCATCGTCATCATCACTGATGACGTCATCAGCGACGTCACTGATGACGTCACCGACATTCGCATCGTCATCGTCATCACTGGTGAAGTCATCAGTGACGTCACTAATGACGTCATCGGTACCCGCATCGTCATCGTCACTGATGACGTCATCAGTGACGTCAGTGATGACATCATCGGCATTGGGGGTCACGTGACCCCCAAGGTAACGTGACCCCCCCTGGTTAGTTTAACCCCCCCCCCCCAGTGCCCTTCCCTCCTCCTCCTCAAGAGCTGCGCTCTAATTCGGCGTTACAGGGAGTTGTAAGCGGCTTTCATTTTTTTTTCTTTTCCCTTTAAAAAAAAATTAATATTTACTGCAAAAAACAATTGCCAGCGTTTGGAGTGCTCTACTTTCAGGCTGTCTTAAATAAGACAGGGCTCATTTTAAGTCAAAGAATCTGTTCATATGGTAATAAAGTATGCTTATGTAAGCTGCCCCCTCGGCAAAAGAAGATTGACGTTGAATTTGTGCAAACTCTATCGCTCTCTCCGTGATCCGCGATAGTTGAAGGAAGTGAATAAGGGTGGCGATGTGGGTTAGTTGGTTCACACTGACGAAAAGGCAAACAGCGCGCAGTAAACGGGGACTAAAGAAAGTGCAAACAGGACAAGCGCTCTCCTGTTTGCACTTCCTTTAGTCCCCGTTTACCGTGCGCTGTTCGCCTTTTCGTTGAAGGAAGTGATTCGAAGATGGGCTGTGAGACCGCGGTGAACTGTCGCTCTAATCACCCACCCACCAACATCATCGAACCTCTCGAGAACAAATTTAAATATGATAGAATGAAGCGGAAGAAAGAAAAAAAAATTGAGGCTCGCTCACACACTCGCGACTCCTTAGGACGTCGTACCTTTAAACCTTTTAAAATATCTCACGATAGAACACGCTTGCACCATCTGCTGTGTAGCCGTGGAACACTTTCAGTGTCTGCGTATTCTTTTTTTTTTTTTTTCTGCACATAATCCTTTTCTGCTTGGCTCGGAAGAAACTTGTGACAATGTTATAAAGCATCATTTGTCATAAATAGTACGTAGTACTATTAACGCAAATCCTCGTTGTAGTGAAATAAAGTACCAGGGTCACTTCAGAGATGGCGCCAGCGTGTCGGTGTATCCTACGAGATTTCAAGAGGTTTCGAGGCACAGGGGAAAAGGCGAGTGTGTCGACTATTGAGGACGCCCAAGCAGACCCTTCTATAACCACGAAAGGCAGGTCGGAGGACGAATTGCAACAACACCTTAGAAGAGGAGGACCGTGCACGGGAGCCACTCACAGATCACTGAGAGGAACATGGCGTCCTCGATGGTGCTTCCGGCCAGCTGCGGGTTGTCCGCCTTGCAGGTGAGCAGGCGCTCGTGGTCCTCGGCGCCCGGCACGAAGATGAGCGTGTTGCTGGTCACGTTGCCCGAGGCGTCCACCTTCTCGACGGTGCGGATCAGCTGCTCGGTGCCCTTCCACCAGGTGATGCGTGCCGCGGGCAGGGCGCCCCTCGACTGGCAAGTGAGCTCCACGCGGTGCCCCGACACCAGGGGCTCCCGGGCGCTGCTGATCTTCACGTCCAGGGGGCGCACTGCGAGAGAAGACGCGGGTTTTCTATACCCCAGAAAAACGACACTACACGGGCGCCATTTCTGGAGCACGAAGGGTGGAATTCCATCCTCGCTGAACGCTCACGCCGCACTCGTGTGAAATTCAAGCTCAGATTATGCGCCCAAACAATGGCGCACACGGATGAGTGACGCAGCAGATACTAGATGGCGCGCATTTTTGAAATGGGACTATCCACCAATTGTATACATGGCTTTCATACGCTCTTAGCACGAACGAGACATCGGCGATTTTTCGCATCTTACTTCGGATGAGTACTGATCCGCATCGTATAGGGTGACTGAAATGCCGAGGCTCCATCTACAATTGGCCGTAAATATCAGCGCCTGTACGCAGCTATCTAAACGTCTTGTCAAAGGTGTATTTCTCAGGTGGGTTTCAACTAGTAATATTACGACGCGTATCTCCCTCCGTAAAAATTAGTGCCAAAGCACTTGCCAGGGTCAACGGAGGACGGCGACGCAGACGACAGAGTCCAGTAATGGGGCGCGTTTGGCGCACATGTTGGCCCGTTTTTTTTTCGTCCAGGGGTGTTGTTGCGGCCGGAAGGCGCGTCCACAAAAGAGGCGCCGCCGCTAGCGTCCGCGAGATGCGATCATTTAAAGCTAACGTGAAACGGCGTTCTAGCGTCCCATCATGCACGATCCTCGGGCATGAACTAGCGTCTGTCAGCGTTCCTCTGCGTTTGTCCACACGCACCGACAGAGACACTGAAGGGACGCAGCGTGACGCACAATAGGAACGCGGCCTAGAAATATACAAATTTCATCACCGGGTGCACTGCTGAAAACTTAGAAGCTACATGTCGATTGATAGACGGTGTCGGGAGGGGCGTCGGTAGGGGTAGCCGACCAGCGAAAGAAAGCAGACGACATGCAGACGAAATCCGTCGGCAGCAAGAGCGCCGCGCGCCGTCGTTCTGCAAGGGCGTTATTTTTAATCTTTATTATTTGAAGTGTCGTTATTATTGTTCGCATTCATTTTTAAACCAAATGTATATTACAAAACGGTTATGCTCATTTTTATAGTTCACGGTCGTCGAGGGCAGTCTCGCTATTTTTTAAAAGCAAGCCGGAACAAGGAGTTAACGCTATCAATTCATACGTGCTCCAAACCCGCCCCGCTGGTCGACCCTACTTGACCGGTGACTATGGGAAGTCTTTTGGCCATATTTGTTTACACAAAGGGACCTACGCCTTGTAAATTTACGAGGCAAAACCCACGTGTGAAATTAACTTTTGACAAAAAGTTCAGTATACTACGTACAGGCGCAGATTTTTACGGCCCATTTTAGGTCGAGCCTAGGCATTTCATACACCCTATATTTTATATCTTACCGCACAGGTTTATGTCTCAAGTACAGTGTTGTATGTTGTACAAAAAAAAAAGGTCATGAAATACGTCGTTTGTTACTTTCAAATAAAAGAAACACATTACCGGGCTATGTTACTTGAAAATGAAAGGAACGTGCTACCGCTACCGATACGAAAGAAAATGGACGTTACTTTTGCGTTACTTTTTATTTATGTATTGGGGTCGTTCTTAAGCGGGAATGTCGGCAAAGGGAAAGAACAAAACATTTTGTGGGTATGTGGAATGGGTGTAAGAGCTCATATCACCATGCGCCCGCAAACTGGAAAACTTTTGGTGCAATTTCTTTGAAGTCTTGGGAAAAGCATGTAACGACTAACGCAACTACGTTACCCGCTACTCGAAATACGTAACGTAAGAACGTTACCCATTACTGATTTGAAGATGCAACTAATACGTTACTATGTTACAAAAAAAAAACAAAAAACGAAAACGTTCCCGTTAACACTGCCCAGATGAACGCTTTCTACCACACTTAGTAGTTTTTGGGGTAAACCTTATATTCTAAAACGCATACATAAAAACAAAAACTGCGATTGTTTGTTCGCATTAATTGTGTAACACTGTGTGCGTGACGTCATCGAACTATGCTGCAGTTGTCCTTGTACTAGCGGAGAAAAACAATTTCAGTGGACTTCAGTGTACGCAGCCAAAGGTACGCATTAAAGGGGCACTCAAGTGGTTTTTGAGTTCGTGTTTTGATGATGACAGCTGAATTTAGACGCCCTAAGTATCCCTAAAAACCAAAAAGTATAGTCATGCGGTGATTAGTTCTTTAATAAAAATGTAATTGAAGGCCGCCAAACCTCGGATCCATCTGAAAACGAAACCACTCTCATTGGTCCTCGCACGCTTATCAAAAGGATCTCGGGCCAATGGCGTTGGACGACGTTCCGTCGCGCAGTGATCCCGAGGTAGGTAGCCGCATCGGCCGAATTTCTTTGTCATTCGAGCTTCGATCATGGCGGAGTTCTCTACGCTCGAGGACCTGACGCCGTTAGAGGTTGAAATTCTTCGGCGGACAGCCGACCTGGGGATGATTTCCTATGACGCCACTCCGACGTGCGATGTGCACGATAGCACCGCTTCGGAGACATGCTGGGTACCGAGGACGACGAAACGCAGACCTTTTCGGGCGATCTTCGATTTGCGGTTGGGGCAAGTCGTAACCAAACCAACGTTTGACATCGCAGCGTTACCTCTCGTACGTGATGTCAAACGATGTCGCCACGTTGACTTTCGCCTCGGGAGGACGGGGGGAAGGCTGGTTCAGACATATGCAACGAGCGCGTACCTACGACTGCGTCCGTTGCAACCGGAGCGACCGGAACGATCGCTCTGCGCCGCGCGTACACACACCTGCAACCGCTACAACAAGCGCAGGGGGTCGTCAGCACGGCGAGCGCTTCTATACGCCGTCGTCAGCTGTTTCAGCGGCCCCTCTAAGAAGGGGACCCACTGCTACTCAATGCCGTAACAGAATATAGACAGACAGTTTTCTATAGCCTAAAGATTTATTATTTGTTCTTGATAGGCTTGCAAGGTACAGGGGATGAAAAAAATTAAATAAAAATATGCAGTCCGCCGTCTTGGACGATCACGACTCTAATACACGACTTTGCAATAGTACAAATCTCGCCACACGCCTTTTCTACGATTATAAAAGACAAAGTAATCTTAGCAGCGATATAGCAACGTAGAAATATGATTTTGTGATCAGATAGACGTTGGAGCGTTCAGGATTGCTAACACTAATCACTTTTCTCCGATGATGAAAACGCGTGAAAATTCGCATCCTTTATACGGTACGCGCCAGTAATACCTTGAACTTGAGCACACGCATGAAATGCGCGAAATTAGAAATCCGGGCGATGTTCGAGGACACAAATGCTTAGAAAGCACCACTGTAGTCGAAGTAAACAAACACGACGGCGCGGGCGTTTCTGCTGTCTTGAGAGTGCCGCCACGACGTCGCCGCACGCGTAGGTGGATCTTCCCTTTTAGTACGTGGTGGGTTATCATAGCGACACACGACGAAACTTCACAGTCAAGGATAGCGCTTTTACGCGGAACGATGAGCTTTGACCACGCCGACGATCACCACCGACGGGAGCCGACCGGCCTGCAACGCCCGGAGATACGTGCGCTTCCGCGCATCCCTGGGGAACGGGAAATTCACCCCCCGCGGAGGAGGGCCAGGAGAAAACATTGTCCCTTGTTTGTGAAACGATAATTACAGTATCGCGTATTCTAAACTAGAAATATTTTACGTCTTGTGAAATTATCATGCACAACATATTTAAATGAACTAAAAATTGTTTCTTTAGCGAAACTTTACAACGACCGCCAAAATTTTCAAACGTATACGATAATTTCATTGGTCCTCGCAAGTACAGAAAAGAGTCCGCACTTGTTTTATTCCTGCGGGATTAATAGGCGGTTCTGTCTTCTAAAACTGAAGATACTCATTCACTGACACTTCCTTAACGCCATTGCACCAAAAGGTAGCTTCTCCAAAAACCGCTTGAGTGCCCCTTTAAACATCAAAGCCAGCACAGTGACACCTGTGAATGCCTAGCTTCTGGTGGCGTTGTAACGGGCTGTCTACAGACGTTTTTCGCAGAAGCGCCGTCATCTTGAATATCGTCACTACCAATATGGACGAAAACATCGTTTCGCCGTCGACATGTTAATATAATACATTTAAGATATAAGCGTAAACGTTACCAATTCTTGTTCTGCCTCCTCTCTATCTTTTTTTTTTTTTTTTTTACTATTTGCAAGATGAAATGTTTTATTCTATTTTCTTCTTTCATACCGGATATGCCTACCGGGTGGCTAGAGACGAGATAAAAAAAGGTATATATATATCGCTTGCACTGATGTCCCACCAGTAGTCATTCCGGTAGCCTTATTACTGAGCGCGCTTCTTCAGCATCATTCATTTCGCACTGCCCAGTTCGATTTTCTCGGCAAGACCAAAGAGAAAAACCAAGAATTACAACCAGGAGACTTCCATTTTATTCGAGCTTATTTTAGTAAACGTCGGTTTAGGGGCCCCCATAGAGAAACTCAAATTAGAGAAAATGGCAACGAGCCTTTCGCGAATTTGTTTTATGAAAATACCATTTACCGAATTCGCCAGTTGCTTGGGAGCTTGGGCGGCCAGCGTGTTCAGAAAAGCCTGCGGGGTACCTCCCCAGGGCCAGCGATGCCGCCACTCTGAGAGGCGGGCTTTTGTGCACGTCACAACCCCGCTGTTGTACAACCACAGCCTCACCTCGCGTGGCTTAGGGGCCGGAAGGGGGGATGGAAAGAGGGTGAGGCTTAGGCAGAGACGCCTGAGGGAATTGCGCTCTATCGTCACTGACAGCTTAAGAAACATGGGGCGTTCCGAATCCCGGAGCATCTCCGCAGTTAAGGAGATTACAGCATCAGCCGATAAGAAGGCAGAAGGAGCAATCACAAAGCAGGAATCGAGATTATAATCGTTCCTTAAAGGGGCACTGACACCCCAAAGGTCGTATTCTTTTTTATTGTCTAAAACGATGCAAGTTGTAGTCACAGACACGAAAAAAAAAAACCGCATCGCGAAAAAAAATTTCCCCGCGCGCGCGCGCGCCTTTTTATTTTTGGCGTTTATATTTCCCGCGGTCACCTCCTTGCTTCTTTTGATCGGTGACGTCAAAAATCAGGAAATTTAGAAGCTTTGTAGGCGACCTTTCTATAACGTTTAATAACGGCAATCGTAAAACATGTTTCTTAACGCAATTAGGAACGCACTACGGCCTTTCTTTTTGAAATACTGAAAATAAGATTTCGGTGTGATGTCGCTTCCTGGATTTGTATGCTCCCTCGGAAACCTCGGAAAACTTGGCGGCGCTCGAGCAGAGGATTATCGGCGAGTCGGGGGGAAGAAACCGGTTTTTTTTCCCGCGCCGGCACCCTTCTATCCCGCCTGCCCGCCTCCTGCTCGCTTCGGGTCGCGGTAGCAACGGCGCTTAGCTTCACAGCGTGGAGCGGAGGTCTGAAAGAAAGTCGAGTCGCAGGAGACCGCAAAATTTGACTCACTGCACTGGCGCGGATCGCGCGGGAACTTCAAATTCGGCATTTGGAAATTGTTTTTTTTAATTCAGAAATACGGAATTGCCAAGTTTCGAATTTTGAGGGTAATGTCCAGGCATCGTTTTCAATCGTTTCGGATAGTAAAATAAAATATGATTTTGATGTGTCAGTGCCCCTTTAAGCTGTAAGCGGCTATAGTCTTTGGCGGCTCGATGATTGTTTTACGCTCGATTGTTTTTACAAGTTTGGATAAAATGGTGTTGAATCAAACGCAGTAGACCTCTCCGGCAGAGGAGAATGAAATCTCCCTCTTTCACTCGTGGCGACCAAAATGAAACCCTCGGAGCGAAAGTTCCCGCTGCAGGACCCAGAAATCATGGCTTCAATCCCCACCTCGGCTCGTTTCGACATTATCAATGACCCTCGTGCCGGAATGTGGTCTTTTGGTCACGACTACACGTGATTCCCGTTAAAGACCCCAGTTTATCGGTAGTATGTACTTTCTTATCTACAGCGTGAACCTGCAGGGTCGTTATACCTCCAAGCCAAACCTACCTTTTTTCTGTCCAAGCATTCGACGTATAACTGGCTTCAATTGCGTCGCGTAAGATTAACTAGTCACACTAATTTCGAAGTTGGCGTTACCCATTTTTGTCACTGCCAGCTTAAGCATGCCGTGGCGATTCCCTTGCTTTATCGCATCTAGTGAGACTGAGCCAATGAAGAACGCTTAATATTCAAACGAGAACCAAAATAAGCCACGCGTTTTTCATCGGTTCTCAGTAACTATGGCTGGACTAAGGGCGTTCGTGAGAAAACAACGAACAGACTCCGCGTCTATGCAACAGTTCTAAAAAGTGAGGAGAAAAGTGCCGAGTCACCGGGTCTTGGACGCGTGCGTGTCATTTGATATTCCAGAGAAGAGAGCGATACCTGCGCAGGCTCGTTCCACGGCGCTCAGCAGACGAAGGTACAAGTCGACTCTCAGACTCACGGTTCATGTCGATGGTGACGGACGTGTAGACCGGCAGTGTGAGGTTGGTGTTGGCTGCCTGGCATCCGATCGTGGCACGGGCGTCCGAACGCTCCAGCTTGGGGATGAAGAGCCTGTTGCGAGCGACGCCCTCGGAGACGTTGCTGTACGCCCCGTCCAAGGGCACCGTGTCACGCCACCACGTGACCGTCGGAACTGGGGTGCCTGGGAGATCGATCCATGCACCTGTTCGCTATATGCACCCACTTTTCTTGGTGGCGCTTATGTGCCCCAATGCATAGTGCCTGACGGCGCAGCAGGTATACGAGTATATGAAGAGAATAACTACTATTGCTCTTACATTTTGCCAACTTTGGTAAATATCGAGCCCGCGAAAATAAAGTTGTTTACAGTGTACCTTTGTCACAGAGCTTTGCAGCCTGGTGAACAAAAAATCAGGCGATGTTATGCGTATTCAATTTGAATATTAATTTTGTTCTTAATCTCAGTGGGTCTTTTCAGTGACCACTGTAAACCCCTTCACCCCATCGATCCAAATTTTTAGCGTAATGGGCACGAGGAGTATTATTTGCGATCCTTAAATTTTCCGAATTGTGTATTATCTAGGTTCTAGGCTAAAGAAATAATGGCGTACCCTTAAAGACCGGAAATTTTCGAATTCGCGAAAAGTCGAGAAATTAGGGAATCGGGAACATTAAAGTTTTACCCATGGGACGTGAAAAAGAGTTCATCAATTGTCACTTATTATAAACTTCGGTGTTAAGAAACATCTGCGCGACACAATTGCAAAATAAATAAATTAACGAAGTACCATACTGGCTGCATTCGGAATTCACGAAGGCTGTACTTTTCGCGAGAGTCTTTGTATAGTTTCCTCTTGGGTATTGTTGTTTTATTAGCCAACTCTCATCGCCTCCTTCGGGTGTTGGGGGGGGGGGGGGGGGGGGGAGGGCGGTAATGAACTGTAGGAAACTCCTCGCTTAAGATTTCTTTAGTTTCTGGGAAAGCTTGGGAAAGCAAGGACTGGCGAATCAGTTCCCGCTTAGACAAAAAATCGCTACGTAAGGGAGTTTTAGCAGATCATTCCGATACCTCCGATCACGATACCCACAAGATATGACGCATGCGCAAAGATACCACGGAGTATAGAGTAGCGTCATCGGAAATATAAAGGGATCTACTAAAACTCTTTATTAAGGGAGTGGGGCCGAGAGAATACAGGGTGATTCGAATTATTCAGCTCTCATTGAAATGTAGAGAAGAAACCATTTGCTTCGGGTCTCGAGTTGTCATTTTTTGCTAATAAGTAATGATGTGGTCGACGTTTATTACTAAAGTTTCAATACTACGAACAATAGAGGTCTATAATTCAATTAAAAAAGTTTCCTCTTTGTATGAATTCCCTACTAATAATTTCACTTTGAAAGTTGAAAATCAATATGTTACACCGTTCAGGCGTAGATATAAAAAAAAAATGTGACACTGTTAAATCACGAATTGCCGTGACTTTCCAGCACTCTAATCGGTTTTTGTCAAATCAAACGTCTCAGATATCATCGATGTCGTCGTTGTTATATTTCTGACCCAAAACAATCTCTGTTGATAGGAAACTACTATATTACATTTTAACGCATCACCGAGGTGATTACGAAAGCCCAGAGTTTGAAAACACGGTTGTGTGTACACGAAAAAAAAAATATTATAACGGGCTTAGGAAAATACACGATGAATTCATGGGCCGCTGAGTAAACGGCAACGTGAAAGGAAAACATCCACGAGCCTCCGTTTAACGAGAACACGTTTGTTTGAGTGCCAAGACGAAACAAAGACGGTTAGCTCACCTAGCGGCAATGTTTGAACGGGAGTGCAGCGAACAAAAGGTCAACTGACGCGGGCGAACTGAAAAGTGTAAGACGACGCCGCCCGATTCATCCCTTCGAACGGGGAGCCACCTGACACCAAGCAGAAGGGGGCCCGAGTTTCAGGAAAGTTTGTACTCCGCATTTTGTACAACTTTTAAATCGCACTCAGGCTGGTAGGACAACCTAAAAGAGACAGAGGGTTCTCTGCGCACACGACGGCAGAAGACATATGCGAATACGGCTGAAGCATGTTCCAAGCCCTTCATATGCTTCCAAGATGCCAGCAGACAGTTTCTTTTACGACCGATCTCGCCATAGGAGAAAGAAGCAAGCCTCAGGCAGTGCTTGGCGGCCGTCCATTGTATCGTCTATTAGCGGCGTGACTGTAGTCTTATATTCCTTACGATGGATCGCAAGTACCACGTGACTAGGCGCCCATTGTGCGTCTCTCTCGACGCTCACGTGACACACGGACGGCACCGGATTGGCCCCGATGGCATAGAGTCCGCTGAGTTCCGTAGGAAAGACAAGCGGAGTGCAGAAATGGCACCGCAGGGAATTCAGAGTTTACACATTGACGATGGAGAACATTGCATCCTCGATGGATGCATTAGGAATACAGTGTATTCTTTCGCAGCTGCTGACTTAGTTGGGTGTTCGAGACAGGTTTCAAATTGTAAGAAGCGAATAAAACGAACCAGCAAGTAGACTACGCTCCGTTTAACGTTACGGCGAACTACAGATAATGCTACGAGGTACGCCGTGTGAGCGTTTCACGGGACCTGCAGGAGGACCGCAGCGACCGGAAAGTGTGCAGTCGCCGGATATGTTCACCGCGCTCCATTGGCTCAGATGGCTGCTACAGTCCACTGCGGTTCAATGGAAGGGGAACAAGCGGTCATCGATGCAAAATGCGTGACAACCGCTTTCGCCCCATCGCCTATATGGGAACACGGTTGAAGGAAAAATTATAGCGCGCACTTTGGAGCGTAGCATCGAAAAGTGATTTAGCCGCACGGAGCTACACCTGTAGTCGCGAGGAAATCCCCGTGTTGACTCGCGCTTCGCAGAATGATTATTGTAGAATCAAACGACGAAGAGATCAATGCAAACATTTTGTTTATCTTGATTAAGATATTATAAAAAAAAAAAACTTTATGAAAAAAAGAAAAGAATAAACCTTTCGTTTAAAATGTTTTTTCGGGAACAATTTCAACATTATCGGCCGTTTTTGCGATAGTAAGATTTGAAATTACAGAAATCTGGTAAATGTCATCGGTGTTCCTGAAAGACCAATCGCACCGTTAAACCTTAAACAACGTCACAAATGGGGCCGAACACAAAACAAGCATTGTCTATATGCAAACAGTCAACGAAACTCGTTTCACTAATGCTGGTGGTTTCGCAAACATGTCTCCTTGATCTATGGCTTGTGACGGTTGGCTGTAAAAAGTGTTGCTATCAAATCCAATTTGACATTTTTGTAGACTGCGTTCGTGGCTTGTTCTGCCATTATAACGGTGTACAGTATAAAGCTACTTGTTGCACCGTGTGCGTGCCCGTTTAAGTAAGCAAGTATCTAAAGTGAAATAAACAAAATATTTAGAAAATAAAAAGGTTAAAATTTAAGACGTTGGTGCTATAAAAAAAAAAGATCAATCTGCACACCAATAAGCAGCGAAAAACAAACATCGTGAGTCAAGCTCTCGAAAAGTGATGCGTAATTACTTTCACCTATCCAGGTTTCCGGCCCGTATAACTAAACCTCAAAATCTGCCCAAGTCCAATGTTTAGAAATTATTTGTGTCGCGTTTGTACATTCTAATGTATTACTTCTGATTTAAGAAAACGGGGAGGGAAAAGGGAATCGCCATTTAAGGACTGATTACGACAGTCCACGACCATCGAACAAAAATATTTTAGAACTGCCGGTAGAGCCGTAACATTAACAGAATTAAGCAATAACGGCAGTTCAAGAACAATGTTTCAATCTTGGTTCTCTTGTCAACTCTCCTTCCTTATCTTTTGAACTGCAAGGTTAAGGTGGTGCCATAATAATGCTGCCGACCTATTTTCTAGTTACAGACAACTTAAGAAATGGAGGGCGTGGCAAGGCATCTTATCACTCCGAAGCCCAAAAGATGTCGGCATGAGCCGACAAGAACGCCGACAAACGAAACAGGAAGCAGAAATTGTGACCTTAATGATCCATCCCCTCGTTTCTTAAGCCATCAGTGTTTATGCGCAGCGTAAGTTCGTCTGCCCTTTGCACAGGGGTTGCGATGATGTCAGAACGTCGAGCTCTTATGGGCTGATCGAAAAAAAAAGAGTGGGTAGACTCGAACACATCTAGCATTGAGGTCTATCCATTATCTTTCCAATCAAAGCCAATCATTGCTCGGCATCGTTATGACGTCACCGGAAACCCTGTGCAAAAAGCAGACGAGTTGCTCTCCGCATAAACATCAATCTTTCTTTCCTTTCTTTCTTAGCGCCACTGGGATGCGGAGTCAGCAGAAAATACTGTGTCACAGCCATTGTGTGGTTGACAAGATGTGGCCATCCACAAAAGGGCAGAAAAAGTTGCGCGGATTAGCAGATATCTGCTAATCTGCGCATGCGTCAAGCCTTAGGAAAATGGTTAAAGATGGTCGTTGAAACTAAAACTAGATAGCTTCATGTTCTTATTCATATTCACTTTATAGTTTTATTTGAATTCAGCCGTGACAGAAGTCACAGCCTGCATGCAACGCTAAGTATTCGAGAGATGCATAACACTGACCTCCAATAGCTTCGCAGGTAAGGCTCAACGGTGATCCTTCGTCGTAGGGTCCCACGACATCCTGAAGCGGCTTCCCTAGTTCATCGAAGATGATCACTTCTTTTGGTGGAACTGAAAAACAACAAAATATATGGTACTAAGTTATTGTAATCTTACCTCATTATAAGTTACTGCCTCACCACAAATGTCCAAGTAAACGAGTAGCTTTACACAATAGTATTACAACGTGCGCATGAAAGGAACACCTCGCAGGGGCTTTGAACAGCCTATCTTCAAATCCCTGTACACACGCATGGTCACGTGGGTTGCAGACACGAGTTAACTGAGGACGTCATTTGCTACGTTTCCGCAGGACTGCGTGTTGAAAAACAGGCTGGCTCAGTCGAAGTTGATGTTGCTGAAGCGTGATCACAGTCGACAGCCAGATGCATTACTTGTGTAATGCATTACTCCGAATAGAACTCAGGTATTGTGCAGCTTTTGAAGATCTCTGTTTGTTCAAATAAACTGGTTTATCAGCCCTCGAACTCGCGCAGTATAACGCGCTTGGTTTGAGCTGGTTAGTTTATTGCATTGTTTGCGTAGCCAGCCATCAAACAAATAGACACGCATATTCGCCTAAGTCCTTAAACTGTCCAATCACATACATAGAAAGTGCTGTCTGTATGTTTATACAACCGGAAGGTAGTCTGCCTTAGTGGGCGTCCGGTGTCTCAGCTATAGATGAGCAGTTTAACCAGTGCGGTACAATCGTGCACCACGCAGTAGTGATACACGACCGCACGCCGGTAGATCGAAACGGCCAGGGGTGGGGATTGAGCCCAGGATCCCTGAGTTCTGCAGCGCGAGCTGTCGCTCCACGTGCTCCGAGCTGGTGTGCCCTATTAGCGGCGAGATGTTTTGGTGGCGCCCTCCTATGGTTCCCCCTTGTGACGTCATTACCTTGCGAACAACAAGTTCGATGGTGTTTGTAAATAGCATGGTGGAAGCCTGAAATCATTGCGCTCTCAAAGCAACGCTGCCAACACCGTCGAAATTAAAGTTCTTTCATTCCTCTTATTTCCGTCAATGGTATACCCTTTCCGACGTCATAGTCAGCTTTTGGGCCAATCGTGGAAGGCCGACCACAGCGACGCTTTCGGTCGCGCACGGGGCTAATCCCACCACCGATTCCCCCTATAATCACCTACATACACAAGAAAGGTCTAGTACTTTAATCAACGCGCCGTACGCTGGAGCCAATGGAGATGGTGCATACCATCTCGTCAACTTTATTGGGAGGATGGGCCACGTGTTAAAAAGAATATTACGAGGACAAATAAACTAGGGCTGTACACGCTACGCAGTCCACTGGCGCTGCGGCGAGGAAGACCCGCCGACGCACCGAAATACCGGATTCGCCGAGACAACAGAGACGACTCTCTCCGCTGTCTCGACGGGTGTCCACAGCGACAGATGGCGGCAGTTGCCAATTCAAAGCAGAAAACAATGAGGCTTGCTGCGCGCCTCCAGCCGTTTTGAACTACGCAAAAGTCGTCCGTACCAAGACCATCAGATTTTCGCGGTCCCTAGCAAAGTATTTGAAGAAATTCCTCGTGAAACAAAAGGTCAGCCTTTAAGAAATGCCGACGGAGAAGCAACGCAGGAGCTCACCGATGACCTGGAGCGCCATGACGAAGGTGTGCGTCCGCGCCCAGCGGAAGTCGACGCGGCACTTGAACTCGCCGGCGTCCTCGAGCCTGACGGGGTCGACCCGGAGCACGGCCGGGTGCGTGGAGGTGTTGAACTCGTACCTGCCGGCCAGCTCGGGGCTCGGAAAGTGCTTGGCCCGCTCCAGCGGCGTGTTGCGCGCGTCCACGCTGTACAGGGGCCCGTGCACGTCCGACTTGGACCAGAGCACCAGCGTCACGTTGTCCTTGTCGTGGTTGGACGCCGGCACCGACAGGTTGCACTGGAGCTCCACGGCCCCGTCTACCACGGCCGTCAGCCTCGGAATCACTGCGCAAAGGGGAGCAGGCTCTTCAGACATCTTGGTGCTCAAAGGGTTTGTCGGCAGACATCTGGAGCTTTGTCTGAAACCGAGTAGCTACTCTTCAGCATCCTGGGTGCGTGAAATCATCGTGGATGTTTATTAGAAACTTTATAAGCCGCCCTCTAGAAATTTGATAACCGTGCGTGACAGAACGAAACGATTTCGCCCGAGCTTCCTGGGTTGCATGTCAAAGTTGCAATGATCGCCAATCACGCCAGTTAGATCATCCCAGCCGAAAGGTAACGATCGTGCGTCGTGTGGGACAGTTGGACGCTAGTCCGATTCAAGCACGTATGCTTTAGTTTCGTCGGTCGGAGTGCGCGTTGTAATTACGAACATACATATTGGGACAAATTTTCCACTTCTAATAAAGTTGCTTTACAAAAAGCGAATTAGGATGCAGGTCTTAAAAAATCGGTCGATTGCGAAACTCGCATATCAGTCATATTAGTCGAAGGTATGCCCATGCGTCTACCTTTACGTTGAGCCATCAGGGAGCCAGCCATCGCAAGTTTCGCAGAAGTATCAGCGAGTGACGAAGCAGAAAGATACTGGGGCCATAAAACGAATTTTGGGTTGGGATGAATGATTTTAAATTAGGACTTTACTAATCGCATATAGTTTTTTTTGGCCAAAAGAAAGAGGCTAGAAAGTCAAAAGCCAGCTTCTCGGTACGAAAATTTGAAAATATAGCGAACTATTTTGTACCTTCTTGCCTTCGAAAGCTCTCCGCCTTTTCACTATGATACATCCGTGGTTCCAAAAGCGCGTCACCGGCGCCAAACTAACGCCAGCTGAGCCCAGCTCACGCACTGGACACGAGCACTGCGTCACTCGGACGTATGCGCTCGTCAACAATCAATCCGTCGACGAATATTTGAATTCGCTTTCGTGGCCAATGAGTGCCCTGACGGAACTTATTGTCACTGGGGAATGACAAGTTCTATGGTGTGCATACAAAGCACGGTGGAAGCTAGGAGTCATCGCACCGGTGTCGAAGGAATGTCACGACCACGTGATTCAAAATTCGCATTTGAGTTGAGGATTAAAGCTAAGAAGGAAGAAGTAGGAAATCGTTTCTTGACCCCTTTAATATTAAATATATCATTAATATATCTAAAAAAAATTGTTTTTTTAAACATTCTGGTTGGGACACGCGTGTCAAGTAGAAAAATCGTTTCATGACCCCTTTAAACATAAATATAAAGTCTGCGATGGCTGTACAACACTAGAGCGCACGACACAAGAGCGCCGACATTAGAGCGCAGCGACGTTAGAGCACGCGACACTATAAGCGCATGCGACACTGGAGCGCCGCGACGTTAAAGCGTGCGACACTAGAGCGCCGCGACGTCAGCACGCGCGACTCAAGACCTGCATCCGATAAAATTGCGCGGAGCTTTCCTTCAATGAGTTTTTTGCTGATACTTTTTTAGTGGTGAGCCTTCTTCGTTACGAACGTGGACGTCCGGAAACCATTTAAACTTATGCGAGAAACGTCTAAATAGCCACCAAATAGTTCGGAGCCCAAAATGCTTGTCAAGAATGGACCAAATATAGCAAAAAGTAAAGTAATTATACTACATCTGAGAGGCGCACCGAAGCACTGGGAATAAATATAATTCGCTGCTCCACTCAACTGCAAACTTTCCGGTACTTATATGTCCCAGCCCGCTCCCCTGCCCCTTTTTGTCCCCGATGTCTGTAAACAATTGGTTAGAAAGAGTCGTGCCCATTTTATTTTTACTCCTTATTGAAGGCATATTCAATCAATCAAAAGTCCCCAATGCTTCAATAAGGAGTATTCACTGGACGCCGTATTTGTGGGTGATGTCTCGAGCGCATGTTCTGAACGAGCCCACATTAATAGGCTGCTAAGACCGGCAATCTTGATGGTGTGGATTGCAGGTTGCAAAAGAACCGTGGAAGCTCGCCATCAGCACGTGCTCGGCAGTCGCGAAAACAGCTATTGGCGACGTGCGCGACCGAAAGCGTCGCTGTGGTCGGCCTTCCACGATTGGCCCAAAAGCCGACTATGACGTCGGAAAAGGTATACCATCGACGGAAATAAGAGGAATGAAAGAACTTTAATTTCGACGGTGTTGGCAGTGTTGCTTTGAGAGCGCAATGATTTCAGGCTTCCACCATGCTATTTACAAACACCATCGAACTTGTTGTTCGCAAGGTAATGACGTCACAAGGGGGAACCATAGGAGGGCGCCACCGAAACATCTCGCCGCTAATGGCTGCCAGTGAATATTTCTTATCCGATGAGTCGTACAAGTTTGTTCTGTCTGTGGAGTCGCGGGTACATCACACATTTTGCGGTGTTCGCTCAATCGGGGTGCGCTCTCGTGTCGCGCGCTCTAAACCCGCTTCCCCGTCTGCGATGTGACACTAGATGTGATAAGCATTTTTTTTGCCTTAAATATTTATTTTAAAAATAAGACAAAAAAGAAGAAAAAGTATGATTAAAGAAGTAGATGCCAGAACATATGTTAAGTTTCACTCGAAAGGTATAACCGAAACAATGTTTCTAAAGCTTCCTTAGAAGTGAGACTAAATACTCGCGAGAAAAGCGCAGCAAATTAGACGCGAGTGTTGAGACAGCGCGACTTCAATCTGCTTTTGTTAAATGATAACAAAACTCTAGCCGGTGGAGTACGACTGCTAACATATGGTTTTTAACGTGCATCATGCGGCAGTGATGAAACGAACGCACACCGCTACCCTGCTCATTCGGAAGTTCAGTTACAAAGTACAGGCAAGGGGGTCGTGTACGTTCGGCATCACCGTGTTGAAAGAGAAAGGTTTCCTTCTTCTTGGATCAGACTGCGTCCTCTGAACGTCAGCCGCCGATTCGTGCGGATAGAACGGTCCAAACGCTCTTCGTTCTGTCGTGTGACCTCTGCGCATGATCGTCTTGAACGTGGCTTGTCTTTCACGTCGCTCTGGCCAGTTCTAAAACGCGGCGCTCATCTTGTTGGGCTTACATGTAGTGTTCAACCTCCGTAATGTTGGGGAAACGCCGATGAATGTCAGTGGGTGTAATATTTTCCGCACGCTGAGTTTCAACTAAACACAATTTGCTTCATACGCACGTCTGTGTCAAACGTTATTTTTTCAGAGTGGGCACGTGATGCCATCTGTTGCACGGTAACTACATTTACATGAGACGGTTCAAATTCTACTGACCTACTACCAATATTCGCGCGTGCCATCTTGGGCCTATAAAATAAAATGGAAGGCAATTGGATTCCGACTTTAATCGCTCCATTGCATTGCGTGTATGTTTAGACAGCCGGAAGCTAGTCAGCCTCAATGGGCGTCTGGTATCTCAGCTCTAGATGGGGAATTTAGGTAGTGCGGTACAGCCGCTAGCCTGGGGTCTTTAACGTGCTCCGCGCAGTAGTAATACACGACTGCACGCCGGTACCATGCTCATCCAGATCAGAACGGGCAGGGGTGGGCATTGAACGGAAAGTTTTGGGTTCTGCAACGAGAGCTTCCGCTCCACACGCTCCGGGCTGTGGTGCGTTTCCACACTCGGCCACCGATACCACGGATTCCGACTTTGGGTCGAAACATCTGACGCTATTTTCACTCGTTTCTGCCTCGCAGAAATAAACGTGTCCTCTCCAAGATGCTTCACGAAAGACCACTCGCTACGTATACATATTCTAGAGTCTCCCCGAGTTTTCTCAAAAGTTACGCGATACATGTTTTAGTGTACTCTGTCGGATCTCGTGCAAGTCGTCAATCATTACACTTGCCACCCACTGTCAGCTTAGGAGAGAGTACACGGTACATGGGACCTCATCCGATAGCTTCTGGATGTCTTTAAAAACGCAAACTCTGCGTTACCAATATCAACGTAATCCACCGCTGATTGATCTTTGTAGGAACCGATCACGACTGCAGTTCCGTATATATCACGATGCAACCTACCATACCGCATCATTTTCTTTTTTTGGAGCGTAAAACAAAAGTCGCGAGGCAACCCAGCCGAACATAAACACGCGAGCGGCTATGCGGAAACCAAGAAAAGCCCAAAGGCCATTTCACGAAAAACCTCCAAGAGGCCCATTCCTTTAGACGGGAAGCTGTTTCTCGACTGGCCAACGAAAAATGGTTGTGGGCGGATTCGGCGACCGCGCAGCTGCGGGATGGCGCGTTCGGCCCGGAACATTTTTCACGAGGTTCGTCTTTTCTTAGCGTTCACGCGCGGGAAAATGCGTCGAATATTCCGGAGTCGGTAACGTCGAAGGGTAGTCCATTCTCGCCAAAGGGCTGTGGTTTGTGACCGGCATGCGGGGGGAGGAGGGCCGGGGGGGGGGGGGGGGGAGAGAGAGGCTACTGTTCTAAATTTTCAGTCGGAGAAACGCTGAGGCGCGAAAGTCTACAAAAACGACTGTCCGTGAAAGAAGAAAACAAAAGAGAAACCTGTTTCTTTATTTGGGAATATAAACTACGCGTAGCAGGAAGGTTCAAGTTTTTGAAAATACGACGCTAGCGATTGGGATTGAAGGCCAAAGTTTGAGAACACGACGTCTGGATCAAAATATGCGAGAAAAAGAGCAAAGCATTCTACGAGCCGACGTCCACCTAAGCCAAATATCGGCCAAAAAGAAGAAATTACATTATGGGTGCTGTAAGATTTATTTCAGTAAACAAAACCTCGCAGCAAGAGAGAAAACAATATTATTCTCGCTGCCAGGCGTTTTTATTGATATAAATGTCACACGCGTCAACAATCTCAGTCCGCGGTTTGACGATATCGGGCTTAGGTAAATGTCGGATCATAAACAAAAACCTGACGTTTTTATGTTTCGATACAACGTCACGTTCTCTCAAACTTTAGCATTTTATCCCAACCGCTAGCATTACATTCTCACGGAGTTTCAGCATTCCGGGATCCGTTAGTTTATCTGCGCAAGATGAAAAACACAGTTTTTTTTTTTTCAAA